TGAGATTTAGCTATGGGATCTTGTTTGTCTCCAGTTTTAGCTAATAACTACGTGATTCAATTAGAAGTCGGGCTTTTCCAAGAAACACTCCTAGTTCCGAAATTATTGGTCAGATATATGGATGACTACTTTGCTATCAGGCAGCATGGCAGTGTTTGGAAGACATCCTTAGGTTAATGAATAGATTAGATAAGACGACTAAATTCACTATGGAGTTGGAAAAGGACAGTAAGTCACTCTTTGTAGATGTCCTAGTTATTAAGTAATGGAACCAACCGAGTAGGTATGTATATGGGAAACCCAAAAATAAGGATTTCCTTCTTAATTTCTTCTCGAATCATACTTATTGTGATGAAGTATGAGTCATGAAATCAATGAGAATATGGAGTTTACGTATAGCGGACGTAAATCATCAGAATCATGAGTAAGAGATTTTAAGAAAAATATTAGTTGAAAATAATTATCCGTCATGATTAATTTATAAAAATTTCAAAATACCAAGAAATAGAGTGAAAGAGAACCAGTAGTTAAGACAAAACAACGAATTAGGCAATTCTTCGTCCAGGTTTCTAATGCTGCCCCCCTGCTAGCTTTCAAGAAAGATAGGCGAATTACTGATGAAAAAGAACTTCGGGACCATCTATAAATAACGCTTTTCTCGGTCAAACAATCTTTTAGAGAATCTAAAGATGCCAACTTACTCATAAGTATTGCATATACATAGTGTACACACATCCAAGAACCTAAAAGAAGCCCTAGTATTGCAGGATCACACGTTAGTTTTCTTTTATCTGCCTATGTAAAAAAGTAATGCCTAATCCCGTCAACTAAGCTCTGTCATTTAACCATAATATAAAATATTATATATATATATAATACAAAATAACTTACATTCTCGTCGGGCGTGCCCTTTGCAAGTACCTTGAAATGATCTTCTTCATCACTATAACAAAGTTCTTTCGAAACAATATACTTTTTGCTTTCATTGGATTCTATCGTTAAATCTTCATCAGAACTCTTGTTGTCTTCCGAAGTAGGAAAGCAATTTTCGGTTTGTTTATTAAGATCGCACTTTGCTGCTTTTTCTTTTTCTACACTAGATATAGCTTGGTCAGGCGGCCAAAAACAGGGATCTTGTGGCTTGTCGATACCAGCATCCGTATCCAGACGATGGCAGAGATTGCGGGCAGCAGCAATGCGACGACTGAGTTGCTCATTGCGAAACCTTGTCGATATCGAAGAGCGAAAGTCTGTTCTAAGCTCTATCTCTAGACTGTTTCGAGCCAGCATCATGGCTTCTGCACGTCTCTTGCGTTCTGAGTGGAGTCCAAGACCAGAGCGTTCATCAGGCATGGAAATTTGAATTGGTTCACAACGCCCAGTTGCTAAAGATTATAATAGCCCGAAAAATTCACGCCAAGGAGAAAATGGCTATATAAATTATGTTTAAGATTTGTGTAATATAGGTTGCGTGAGAACCACTCAATAGAAAACAAGGGTAAGCAAATATCCTTAATTTATCCATAGTTTAATCAAGGGCGATTAGGAATGACTGCTTACACAACATTTTCACTCATTAAATAATATATCCATAAGCCTTCTTAATTTGATACGAATAGAAGATGGCATTGATCTTCAATTCCATATATGTAAATAATAAGGGATTTGCGATCAAAATTCGTATATTAAAATAAAAAGCTGTTGTAAGCAA